CCCACAAAGTCAGCTAAGTGGGTTTGCCACGTAAGACTATTTATAAAAGCTTGCTGTATTTGTGCCTTCATGAGAGGGACAATAATTTTTCCAGGATCAAATCCATGTAATTTAACAATCCAAGTTCTCCCATTTCCTATCAGAGTAGCGATTTGATCCAAATAAGGAGTTACAGTCCGTGAATTAGTATGTGGAAGAAAAAGCCATTCTACTAAATCCTGCTCTTGGACAATAACACCATCAGATGATTGCTGAGTTGAAAAAATTAGCAAATCTAGAGTCTTCTCTAGATCTATTATATTTGAGCCTTATGTACTTGCTTTTCAATCAGCTGTAACTCTGCCTCAGCCTCCTTTGTTAATTGCTGAGGGCTAGTGAGGCTAGGATCTCCTCTAAGGATAGAAAATAGATTACTCATGGCATAGGTAGGAATGCCTAGAGCAGATTGTATCCAATTAATGTCCCACAGTAATTTTTGAAAGTCATTTAATGTTTTCAATTGAGCCCTACATATGGTTACTTTCTGTGGCACTATTGTAGTGTCATTTACTAAGGTCCCGAAGTAGGAGTAAGGAGTAGTAGTCTAAATTTTGTCAGGAGCTATAATTAAACCAGTGTGAGAAATCAAATTTTATAAGTGATCATAACATTGGAGTAGTATTTCTCGAGTGGGGGCAGCACAAAGTATATTGTCCATATAATGAATAATGTAACAGTGAAAATTTTTTATGAGTAGGTTCAATTGCTTGCCCTATATACATCTGGCAAATAGTCGGACTGTTTAACATGCCCTGTGGCAACACTTTCCAATGAAAACGCTTAGCAGGCTGTAGGTTGTTTACTGCAGGAATTGTAAATGCAAACCATTCACAGTCTTGCTCAGCTAAGGGGATAGTGAAGAAATAGTCTTTTAAATCTATGACTATTAAAGGCCAGTTTTTTGGAATCATAGTAGGAGAAGGCAGTCCTGGCTGCAATGTCCCCATAGGTTGTGTAACTGAATTAATGGCTCTAAAGTCAGTTAACATTCTCTATTTACCTGATTTTTTCTTAATCACGGAAACTGGAGAATTCCAAGGGGAAAATGTTGGAGCTATGTATCCTTTTTCCAATTGTTCATTAACTAAGTCCTCTAAAGCCTCCAGTTTCTATCTTTACTTAGTGGCCATTGTTCTATCCAAATTGGCTTACCTGTTAACCATTTTTTAAGGTATAGGTTCTGGAGGCTTAACAATGGCCTCCATCAAAAATGATATCCCTTGGTGGGAACTTTGTCTTTCCACTTGAAGCAGTTCCTTCAAAACCTTGCAAATTTTTTCCTAGTCCCATACCAGGGACATACCCCATTTCATGCATCATATGTTGACTTTGAGGGCTGTATAATTGCTCTGGAATGAGAACTTGTGCTCCCCATTGTTGTAATAAATCTTTTCCCAAATATCAATAGGTACAGAAGTTATAATTGTTTGAATAGTCCCAGGTTATCCATTGGGCCCTTCACAATGCAAAATATAACTACTTTGATCTACTTCAGGGGCTTTACCAACTCCAACTATGTTAAATTGAGCAGGTTGAATTGACCGTGCAGACGGCCAGTGCTGTAGAGAAATAATGGAAATGTCCACTCCAGTATCTACCAAACCTTTAAATTTCTTTCACTGAATAGTTATTTCACAGGTAGGATGTTTATCAGTAATTTGATTCACCCAATAAGCTGCGTTGCCTTGTTTATTTGTGCTTCCAAATCCTCCTGTTTGTTTAATTTCACTTTTCCCCATTTCCACACATGGCACAATCAGGAGTTGTGCTATATGCTCTCCTGGCTCTGTTTTCCAGGGAACAGAAGTAGATAAAACAATTTTAATTTCCCCATTGTAATCTGAATCAATGACTCCTGTATGTACTTGCACTCCTTTTAAATTTAAACTAGATCTACCTAGAAGTAATCCTATCATCTCTGCTGGCAAGGGTCCACAGACCCCTGTTGGAACTTTTTGTGGGGGTTCCCAGGCAGAAGAGTGAAGATTAGGTGCAGTATAAATCTACTATGGCACTACCAGCTGTTGTGGGGGACAGACATTGTACATGGGTGAGGGAATGGCCTGAGCCGGAAATGCCCCTGTTTGGAACGGGGCCCAGGATGGGCCCCTCACGGCATTTCCCAAAATTGCATTTCCGTCCTTCTCAAATTTAGAATGACACTGATTGGCACAATGCTTTCCTTTTTTACACTTCAGGCATAGACCTGGTTCATACTGATTGATAGCTTGTTTAAACTCTTTGAGTAATTTAAAAGGAAAAGACTCAAAACGTAGCTATATTATTTCCCTGTTGATTAGGTGGATATATTCTAACAGGGAACTGCCAAGCATCTATATCACCCTCTCGTCTAGCTTGCTGAATTCCTCCCTGAATAGAACTGAGAGCAGTTGCTCGAGGCACTGTTTGAACAGTCACTGGGGCAACTACTTTTCACCCAGTGTCCCCCGGAAAAGAAAGATCTGGAGGGTCAGGCCACTCTTTTTCTTCAAAATAATGAGGGGGTGCAGAAGGGTAGGGAATGAACCTCTTCCTCCTTTGCCGCTTTAACTTTAGCTGGCAAACAATCCCGCTCTGTCACCTCTTCTGTTACTTTGTTGTACTCTACTTCCTCTGCATCATCAGTGTGAAAAGGTTCCAAGGTGGAATGAACCAGAGCCCACGTTTGTCCCATTGCTACCCTGATGCTTCCTAGCTGCCCTTCTTACTCATCATGGGGATTGCTTGAGTACTCAAGTGTCCTCCAGCTTAGTTCCACGTTCTCCAACTCTGGCGACCCTCCAACCCAGGTTTCAAGCCCCACGTATGGGCACCACTTGCCGAGACCAGCTCAGTCGTGGAGACCCTAACTCAGTGGCGTTAGAGGAATTAAAGACACATACAGAGAAATATAGAGTGTGGGGTGGGAAATCAGGAGACTGGCAGCCTTCAGAGCTGAGAGCCACGAACAGAGTTTTACCCACATATTTATTGACAGCAAGCCAGTGATAAGCTGTTTCTATAGATTACAGATTAACTAAAATGGGAAACAAAGGGATGGGCTGAAACAAAGGGATGGGCTCTGGCTAGTTATCTCCAGCAGGAACATGTCCTTAAGGCACAGATTGCTCATGCTATTATTTGTGGTTTAGGAATGCCTTAAGCGGTTTTCTGCTCTGGGTGGGCCAGGTGTTCCCTGCCCTCATTCTGGTAAACCCACAACCTTCAGTGTGGGTGTCATGGCCATAACGAGCATGTCACAGTGCTGCAGAGATTTTGTTCATGGCCAGTTTAGGGGCCAGTTTATGGCCAGATTTGGGGGCCTGTTCCCAACAGAATGATATGGTTTGTCTGTGTCTCTACCCAAATCTCATCTTGAATTGTAGCTCCCATAATTCCCACATGTTGTGGGGGGGACCCAGTTGGAGATAACTGAATCATGGGGGCAGTTCCCCCGTACTGTTCTCATGGTAGTGAATAAGTCTCATGAGATCTGATGGTTTTATAAGGGAAAACCCCTTAGGCTTGGTTATTATTCTCTCTTGCCTGCAGCTATGTAAGAGATGTCTTTTGCCTTCCACCATGATTATGAGGCCTCCCCAGCCACGTGGAACTCTAAGTCCATTAAACCTCAGTCTCAGGTATGTCTTTATCAGCAGCATGAAAATGGAGAACACGGTCATGGTAAGAGTCAGGGTAATGTTACTATGTTCTGAGTCAGGGTCAGGTTCAGAGTGAAGTTCAAAGTGACCATCAGAGTCAAGGTCAGGGTCAGACTCAGAGTGAGACACATGACCAGGGAGCGTCTAGGTGAGAGTGAGGGTGAAGGTCAGGCTGTGTGTCAAAGTCAGGGTAAAGGTCTGCAACAGGGTCACAGAGTCAGGGCCATTATCAAGTTCAGGGTAAGGATGTGTTAGGCAGAGGCTCAGGGTCAGGTTAAAGATATGAGAGACATGGTCAGGATGAGAGTCAAGGTCAGGATCAGCAACCTCTGCCCTACTTCCTAGCACCAGGAACTGGCTTTTGTGAATGCAACTTTCTGAAATGCTCTTCCTCCATTTACCTGCATGTCTTCCTCCTTCATGTGCTTGGACCATTTAATGCTGCCTCACGCTCCCTGCCCTTTCACTAGGATGTCAGTGTCACAAAGACAGTGATCTTGAAATGAAATGTTTTGCTCACTAATGGGTCCCAGGCAGTTAGAAGAGTGCTTGGCACCGAGTAGGTACTCAATTTGAGTTTAACATCGATGAGTGTGCATTAAAGTATTCCTTGGGTCCTGGCAAACACGGTGAAACCCCGTCTCTACTGAAAATACAAAAAAAAAAAAAAAAGTATTCCTTGGGAAAAAAGTACATCTGGGAATAAAATATAACTGTTCACGGCAATTCTCTCTGGAGTAGAATTATAAGAAAGCTTCATGGTCAATTTGATATATGTTCATATTGTTTTCTTATTTATTTTTTTTTTGTGAAACAGAGTTTCACTCTGTCGCCCAGGCTGGAGTGCAGTGGCGCTATCTCGGCTCATTGCAAGCTCCGCTTCCCGAGTTCACGCCATTCTCCTGCCTCAGCCTCCTGAGTAGCTGGGACTACAGGCGCCCGCCACCACGCCCAGCTAATTTTTTTTGTATTTTTAGTAGAGACGGGGTTTCACCGTGTTAGCCAGGATGGTCTCGATCTCCTGACCTCGTGATCCGTCCACTTCAGCCTCCCAAAATGCTGGGATTACAGGTGTGAGCCACCACGCCCGGCCTGTTTTGATTCTTAAAAAGGAACACTGAATGGGTCTTACCATCTTGAGAGAAAACAAAGAACTTCAGGTAAAGTGCTTGACAGAGTGACTGGCACAGGTACTCACCAAACTGTAGCTATGAATTAAACTTCAAACAACAGGCATCAGCCTTCCTGCAAAACCTGGAGCATCATCAAAGAAACGCTACTCTAGTTCCCTCATCCAACAGTAAAAACAGAGAGACAAGACAAGATAGAGGGTCTTTATTCAACAGCAGCTGACAGACCACGCCTCAGTCCTCTGAGGGGATGCATTTCCCCCGCATACCACTCCTTTCCCACGTTTCTATTCTCTGCAGGCTACAGCTTGATGGAATAAAGGGGATTGTTCTAGAGGTACTTATACACAACCTTTGAGGGCACAGTTTGGAGGTGGAGTCGCACAGGACATTTGTAAAAGTAGGACAGCAAAGTTTCACTGTAGCCCACAAGGAAGTAGTACTTGTGTGGAGGCAAATTCCTCAGGACCAGGGCACAGATCTCCAACTGGTTACCCCGGCGCTTTAAAACCAGCTGGTCAGCCAGGCAGCCTGGGAAGGTACCCCACATGAACTTGCGAAGGAAAACATCCTCCACCGTTCGCTCTGCGGCATGGTCCTCTCCATCCAGGTTACCTGAAGAGGGAAGGGCATCACAGAAGAGTCAGCCTCATCGCCCCAGGGTCCTGCCATAACTCCAGAGTCAACATCTAAAAGCGCTGAGCACAATCCCACCCTTCACCCCAAGCCTCTTCTCTTTTCTTCTGCTAATGGAATAAGAAAAATAACACTTTAAAGTTCAAAGTATGTTTTATGTCATTAATTCCCAAGCCAATTCAGTTTAGTAGGTATTATCATTATCCTTAGTTTACAAAAAGGAAGATGGAGGCCTGAGTCAGGGTACAAAACTCAGATGATGCCACCACATCTAGCCCCTTTCCTGCTTTCTTGGCTGCCTTATAAAAACACTGGTCATCCCATGGACCAGAAAGATGAGGCCACCAGCTATTTTTGAGATTAGGGACATGAGTCCTCTCATGAGCTAGGCCCAGGGCTTCCACCAGTGGGTTCTCAGTGTGAACCCTGGATCCCCTGCAGCCCTTACAATGTCCATTAAGAGTCTGCACACCTACATCCAAACGTCAGATCAGTGCCTAAAAGAGTGGGGGATATGCATCTGTTTTTTTGTTTGTTTGTTTGTTTTTGAGATGGAGTCTCACTCTGTCGTCCAGGCTGGAGTGCAGTGGCGTGATCTCGGCTCACTGCAACCTCCGCCTCTTGGGTTCAAACAATTCTCTGCCTCAGCCTCCTGAATAGTTGGGATTGCAGGTGCCTGCCATCACGCCTAAGTTTTTTGTATTTTTAGTAGAGATGGGGTTTCACCATCTTGGCCAGGTTGGTACTGAACTCCTGACCTCGTGATCCACCCGCCTTGGCTTCCCAAAGTGCTGGGATTACAGGCATGAGCCAGCGCGCCAGGCAAGCATCTGTATTTTAAGTAACTTCCCTAGATGCATCTCAAACATCCAAGAACCCCTGTACTAAACAAAACACAGTTGGTTATCAATTGTTTACTGTAGTTATATTCTATAAAGTCACCGCCAACACTGAGTTAGTGAATACTGAACCACTGCTCCTAGAGGAAATACAGGGTTAGATTCCTTCCAGCCTCTGGGCACCATATTTTTGTGAACAAATCAATACATAACCTAGTTTCCTTTGTGTTTCTGTTTAAAGACACCTTGTTTAATATACACGGTAAATTCATTAACATTGAATTCAGGGCCAAGAGCAACTGTGACTGAAGAAAGAGGTATGTCCTCCCTAAGGCACTTCACAGCCTTCTCCCCCTTAGAACACTAGACAGCACTTCAGCATTGCAGGGCCATTTTAAACAGCAAAATCACTAACAAAAAGCACAAAAATGCAAATTAAAAAAAAAAGATTCTAGACCATAAAAAGGACACCTTTTACAGTATGAGAGCTGAAACGAGGCAGAGCCTTGTTGTCGTCGACCTCAGCTGGGGACATGCACCTGGGGTGGCAGCTCTACCCACATCTCAGAGTGACCTTGAGAGTGCCCAGAGTGTTGATTTGGGGCTTACAAATAAATCTGAGTCAGTAGAAGAATCTGAAAATATGAAATTCACGAATAACTAGGGTTGTCTGTATATATTTACAGAGAAAAAATTGTGCTTCAGTGGAAAACTGCATTCCTTAGAGCACACTCTTGAGGGTTATCAGATTCTGTAAGGGTTTCACTCTTTTCCTTGACTCTGAGCTATTCTGCAGCTCTGTAAATTACAGATAACTGATAGGAATGCAAAATAATTCTTGTCTGTAGACATGCAAATAATTTCTGTTCAGTGGAGGATCAACTGAGTCCCTGCCCGCCATGGAAAAAGTCAGTTTTGCATCCATCTTCAAATTTGTTTCAACATTCTGATCTATATATGTCTCTGTTTTTTTATGTCTCCCTTGAGTTGGTTTCATAGATTTCTGACCCTGGCATTATTTCCTGAGTTAAAGGAAACCTGTGACACGTGTTCATTTTGTTTACATGACACTAGGACTGAGTGCTCCTTTTGGAGGCCTGGGGTCCGCTCACCTGTGTGCAGCGACAGCCAGCCCTTACGGTGGGCGATGTAGTGCGGCGCGTGTGCCTCCTCGTAGGTCACCGGCTTGTCCCCCTTGCCTACGCGTACTCGGGCCGCCCGGTTCTAGGAGCAAAAGGGGCCGTGACTCCACGAGACCCCCAATCCAGACCCTACCTCGCGCCAAGTCCCTCCAGTCAGCTGGCACTGCTCCCCGACCCCAACCCACTGATCCCTAAGCCCCGACTCTAGCCCCGCCCCGGACCCCGGCGACACGCCTCCTTCAGCCTGCGCGGCGGCCCCGGGCCCCGGACCCCCAGGGCCCCAGGCACCAGCCCCGGTTGTGCTCACCTTGGCGCAGACAGCGGAGGTGTGCAGGGCGCGCCAAGCGCAAGGCAGCTCTCGGCTCCAGGACAGCACCTGTGGAGGGAGGGCGCGTGAGGCGGAAACTAGGGACCCCACATCCGACTCGCCGGGACCTGCCGAATCACCCACTCACCCGTGGCCCCAGCAACCCGTTGCACACGGAGGCCGCCATCTTGGGCCGAGCTGAGCGCGGGACGTACCACAGCGCGCTGAGGGGTGGGGATAGCCGTGGAAGAGACCAAGTCGGAGCTTGTACTCTGGCGGGGCGGAGCAGGGCCTCTGCGGGGCGGGGCCGCGGTGTGCTGGGTGGCTGTCACTCCCGCCTTCCCCGCAGCCCTGTGAATGCTCAGCCTTGTGAATGCTCATTCCGCCGCTGTTCGCTCTGCCGCGGTTGCTGCTTACATCGGCTTTCAGATCCGGAAATTTGAGAATGAGAAACGTGAGATTTCCTCTTCAACAACCTCACGCTAGTACGGGTGATGGGTGTGCGGCCCACCGGGCCCCGCCCTACCCAACTGCACCCTCGGGGCCCGAAGAGGAGCCAAGCGTTTACCCAGGTCCTATGAATTAGGCTGCTGAGTTGTGCCTCCAAATAATATTCGTAAACAAACAAACAAACAGAAAAGCCCTCCAGACTTTTATCTACGAATAAAGAAACATGTTTTGGTTAAAACGTCACCCAGTTCTTCAAGGATGACTTATGCAGTTATGCAAGAATGGGTTTGCCACATGTGACCATACTGGTGATTGGCCCCTGGGGAAGGAAAATTTTAAGTATGAGGAAAAGGCCGGAGGGCAAGGCAATTCATGAGAATATCGCAGGGCCTGTAATGCTCAAACCAGTGCGTCGCCACTATTATTGGTAGCCAGTAATTATTAATGTCAAACGGAAAAATAGCAACACGGGATATTTAATTTAGAAGTCACCACGGTCATGGAAAAAACACGGGCTCTGGAGTCAGGCCCATGTACAACAATCTTTGTACAGTTAAGACTCAGTTATATTATCTATAAAATAATAGTACTTAATAATAGTACTACCTTATGGAGCTATTAGGATCAAGAGAATATTTAATAAATGATGGGTTGTGTTTGGTTGAGTCATGTGAAATTGCCAATATTTTGGCCGTTCTGGGTCTGCATCATTCCCCCTAATGGTACAGTACTTGCATATGCTGCAGTTTCCTGTCAGGGGGAGGACTGGATTATGATCCATGGGAAGGGGAAATGGAAGAACGGTGGAAATGAGTTGCCCATGACCACACTGAGGAGAGGGAGAGAGGGACCAAGACACAGATCTCTTGACTTCAGTCCAGTCCATTTCCCATGACCAAGACTCCTCTGATTACATGAAGGTGGGTTCTCAAAAAACCCGTAATAACAGGACAAGGTCTTCCATGTCCACTTCACCAGAAATGTTTTATTATTAATTTTTAGAAAGTGCGGCCCCCAACTGTTATGCATATTGAATAAAGGGACAGAGCAAGGATGAGGTGCCCTCCAACCCATAATACTTTGCAAATATAAGAACTTTTAACATTTCCTAAGAAATCCTTTTCAACTGACAATATTTTTAAAGTTTTCATAATGTTCAATAATTTTATAATTGTTAAGTTTCATTAATTTGCTCCAAGGTGGTGAGGAACATGGGACCTGGCATCTGAATTGCCTGAGTCCAAATCCTGGACCCAATGCTTCCTGGCTGTGTAATTTGGGCAAGTGACTGAACCTCCTGAGCCTCAGTTTCTCTCATCTGTAAACTGGGGACAATAATGGTGGTTGTGAAAATTACAGGGTGATGTGCCTGGCAGAGGGAGAGAGCAATTGTGGGTTTTGTTGTTGTTTTTAAGGAGTCCCTGATAGCCACATATCCCGTTAGGGAGATGAGCCAGCTATTGAGGGTTCTATGAGAACTCATAGCAACACCACCCTAATAAGAGGAAAGGGGAAGGAGAAAGGGAAACAAGCTCCTTGGGCTGATCAGAGGAAAAGGTGGCAATGGCACAACACCTATTGGGGCCCAAGGTGGGCAGGGGCCGCATCACAAAGGCTGTGGTTGGGAATCAAGTTTTGCCCATAAGGCAGCAGGCAATAAGATGATCAAATTTATGCTTTCCTCTATTCAAACCATTCTCCCTTATGCCTGAGGTCTCTCTCTGGAATTCCATACCGATGTAGATCTTTCCAAGCATCACAATGGCCATTTCAGTGGCAGACATTTCTGGGGTTCAAATATCTTGTCATCTATCCTTTATTAGCTTTGTTTATACTGTGATTGGGGGAAAGGTGTCATGTCAGTCTTTACATGATTAAAATTACTTAAAATGACTTTTATACATAGTATGACTGTTATATTGTTTTAAATCATCAGCAGAAAAATCTGACTGGGGATGTTTTATTTTTCTGTAACTTCCATTTGTTGTTGTTTTGATACACTTTCCTTCTCCTATTAATTCCATAAAGGAGGCAGTATTTCCAGGCTTCACAGAGCAGAAGATGGAGGCTCACAGACTCACCTGGGGTTACAGAACTAGTAAATGGTAGCAGGCCTTTTTGCTCCAAAGCATGTGCTCTTTCAGTATCACTTCCTGGGGGTGAGGGTTCACACCATGCTAGGATCAGGGAATGGCCTGGGTTTCTGTGGCTTGCTGAAGACAGCTCCCAACTGGCCCTCAAGGACTGCCTGGACATGGAAAGGCCAGGAGCATATGAACCCATATGAAAGACCTATCTGCAGTCTTCCTGGGGCCTAATGCAGAGACAGGGATGTAAAACTGCTTTTTCTTTGACTATGCAGAGACAGGGATGTAAAACTGCTTTTTCTTTGACTATGCAGAGACAGGGATGTAAAACTGCTTTTTCTTTGACTATGCAGAGACAGGGATGTAAAACTGCTTTTTCTTTGACGTGAGCCTTTGTTCCGCACATAACCAAGAAAAAGAAGTTGCTCCTATGCTCTCAAAGCAGTGATTCGCAACCCCAATTGCATGACAGAGCCCCCTGGGTTCCACACCACCTCTGTGGGGAGAGGGCAGGCATTCATATTTTTTAAATGCCCCTTAGATGATTTCAATTTGCAGTCGGGGCTGAGAACCAGTGTCCTGAACTCACTCCGTTTATTTGGGAGACTCTCAAAATGTGTATTTGCAGAGCCCCCTTTCGGGGACAGTGCTGTTGGATGCTCCTGGAAGATTATGGCAGCTCTCTAAGGAACGTAGCCATAGTCCACGCCTACCACTCTTGGTCACAAGGGCAGAGGAAGGGAGGAGGGGTCTGCTGGGAGGTCAGGACTTCTTTGAGATGATCTGTCCAGTTGGGTGCAGCACAGCCACCATGGGCTCACCCAGAGTGCTCAGGGGATACAGCACTGGCTGGGCCGTGGAGAGATGCTGTGTAAAAGGGAGCCGTCAGCCCCCTTGTATTTCCAGAGCCTGAAGAGTTTCAGAATCCAGCCTAGGGGTGGTGGGGTGCCATCTCCCTTTCCGTTGGCTGGAGGGTGAGCCAAGATCACTCCACTCATGGTGGTTTTCTTTACAGCTGACTTATCCTCAGAACTGCTGACACTTTACACTTTGTAAACCTGTGTTTTTTACATTATTCCTTGTGATTCTTTTTTTCCTAATAACTCGTTCACCAGGAAAAATCCCAGAGGCTCTCAGCTCTATTCTGAGAAATAGGTCAAACAACTGAAACCCTATGAGTAAAGCAGAGAGGCATGTCAAACCAGATTGCCAAGACAGCTCAGTCGTTTTCCCTGTGAGCTCCTGCTCCATTCCCCCACCTCTGTTCTTCTGTTGAGGCACAAGGGCTGGGTTTGGTGGGTGAGGTCCCCAGCTGTAATTACTGACGTCAGCTTTGGGGTCCCAAGGAATCCACTCTCCTGTTATCAGAGCTGTGGGCAATTAGAAATGCCCAGTGCCACACCAGAACCATGGGCTAAAAGTCAGAACCTGAAGAAGCCAAACTGGTGCTTGGGATAGAGAGGGGGTGGACTCAGGAAAGAGAAGACCGAGGAGTGGGCCTCATGAGCTCCAGCCCCTGAGACTGCCACTCCCTGGCTCCCAGATGAACTGCTAGATCTAGATGTAATTGGGCTCAGATGAGGAGATAATGAAAATGTGCTAAGGACCAAGAAAGGCACAGAAAGGCCCCGGACCCTTGGGTGGGCACGAATGGAGGTGCGACTGGCACCAAAGGCTGTTCTGAGAGATGTGCCTGCCAGTCAGCCAGGGCCAGAGACAAGCAGAAGGGGCCCCGCGGCAGACAGTGGCATGGAAGAAGCCATGGCCTCCAAAATGTGTGTGGCAGGGCAAGGGTGTGGTTGACGAAATGACAGGAGACCAGGACCACGGTCATCTTGGCTCTTGTGCAGCCCTGACTCATCGGTGCTCATAAAGCTGCACTCTCGTGAAATTTTGTTGGAGTCTTAGAAGAATTCAGGATAGGTTTATGGCCGAATCATTTTATTAGTGATTTTCCCTTTTACTGGGAGGATTTTCCGTTTACTGGGCTAATACAACACATCTGAGGAGTTGGGGCAGCTACCAGATCAGGTTTATATTGTGTAAACTGCACACCACCACCAGTCCTGCTCGGTGCTGTTTCAGTAAACTAAGATAATATCAATGAGAAGATGCTGTTTTACATACCATTAGGAAGGAAAAATGGCTGCAAATTATCTTAAGGTACCATTGATTGATTAAAAGATGAATCCTGATCTGACATGTTAAAATGTTTGAGGCTGATGCAGAAGGCAGTTTCCTCTCCACAAGCCTCATGGGTGTGCAGAATGGTGTAGACACAGAGATGGGTGCCTCACTTATCTCATGCACAGACTGGCTCTTCCACCACAGGGCAGGCACTGTGTAAGCATCTTCCATTCCTACACAGGTGCTAGTAGGGGGAACTAAGGCTTGGAGAAGCCAAGTAACTTTGCTCAAGGGTCATATAATTAGTAGGAAGCAAGGCTGAGGTTCAAAACCAGGCCAGACATCCAACGTGCTGAAGCAAGCTACACCCCATCTCACAGGAGAAGCAAAGACACGCCTGGTTCCTTGTCCCAAGCACTCTTCCGGCCCATTTCCTCCAAGATAGTACTTGCTTGGTTTGACACTTTCATCAAACAGGACCCCTTGTGAGCACACGGCCATGCTCTGGTGAGCAGCCTGCTGCCCTGTCCACCTTTCTGGGTGGCTCTCTCTCTACTAACCTTGGCTCCAAGAACATGACTGTCCAGTAGCCCCATGGCAAGTTCTGGGGTTTCTCAGACCTGAAGGTGAGCATTTTGAGCTCCAGATATGAAAGGCAAGTCCTGGGTGTTATGTTCATGGGAATCCTAAGAGCAGCACTGACTGGAGGGCTAAAGGCAAGGCCCATCCACAGTTCACAGACTTGAAACATCAATCCTTCAAAAAGGGTGGGAGGAGGCCAGGTGCGGTGGCTCACTCCTGTAATCCCAGTACTTTGAGAGGCTGAGGCAGGCGGATCACTTGAGGCCAGGAGTTCGAGACAGTCTGGCCAATGTGGTGAAACCCTGTCTCTACTAAAAATACAAAAATTATTTGTATTTTTGTGATGGTGGGCGCCTGTAGTCCCAGCTACTTGGGAGGCTGAGAATCACTGGAACCCAGGAGGTGGAGGTTGCAGTGAGATTGTGCCACTGCACTCCAGTCCAGGCAACAGAGCAGGAAAATGAAAAAAGGCAAAGGTTTTCCTAAACTTATTAGCAAGAGACCAGGTTTGTGGAGAACCAGGCTCCTGGAACGCAGGAGGCAACAGTTTGGATGTCCCGGGAGCAGCAGGTGGAGCATCCAGGGAATCCAGAAACCCACAGCAGGCAGGCTGCCAGGCATCTCCAGAAAAGGGACCAGAAAGCCTTTTGTTCAAGAAAAGATTCCAAGGCCGGGCACGGTGGCTCAAGCCTGTAATCCCAGCACTTTGGGAGGCCGAGACGGGCGGATCACGAGGTCAGGAGTTCGAGACCATCCTGGCTAACACGGTGAAACCCCATCTCTACCAAAAAATACAAAAAACTAGCCAGGCGAGGTGGTGGGCGCCTGTAGTCCCAGCTACTCGGGAGGCTGAGGCAGGAGAATGGCGTAAAAACCCGGGAGGCGGAGCTTGCAATGAGCTGAGATCCGGCCACTGCACTCCAGCCTGGGCGACACAGCGAGACTCTGTCTCAAAAAAAAAAAAAAAAAAAAAGAAAGGATTCCAGTCTAGAGGGCTGGTAAGCTACCGAGAGCTAAAGGCTCCCTTGCTGTGTCTGGTGAAAGGAGGACAAGAAACATGGTAGGAGCTCTTGGGAAAGGGCTTGGTTTCTCTGAAGTCAAGAAACACAAAGAGAAAGAGGCTCCAACGTCTAAGCAAGGCCCAGGGGATCAAGCAGAGCTTCCTAGAGCTGATGAAAGGGCTGGGGTGGGGTTCTGAGGCCCAGTGAGGTGACACTGGCCCCTGGGAGGGGCCAGTGCAGGCAAGGATTCCAGCAGGAGAACTGACAGGGCAGAAGTCCCAAGTTCTTGGCCAAGCCTCTGGTTCGAATGGTGGGCTGTGGATGAGGTCGGGGAGGATGTCAGAGGAGGTGCTGGCACTGACGTGGCTGCCCAGGGGTAAGCCCAGAAGCTATGGGAGTCTGGAGAGGGTGAGAGGAAGAGGTGCAGGGCTGAGTGTGACAGCACCACCCCTTATCCGCTCTAGCTCTGTCCATCCAGATGTGAGCTCTGGGGCAGGGGCTTACCTCCTCTAGGCTTCCTTTTCCTCAACTGTGAAATGGGGTGACAGTGGAAAGACCTCAGAGTTACTGTGAAGGTATTTAGTTTTAACCCCCAGTAACAGCCTGAAGAATGGCTCCTGCCTTAAAGAGAGAGAACAGGATGGCTTTTTACTAAAATGTGCCAGGATAGGGCACATCTCTGCCCTATCCACCCTTCCAGATACTGCCTCTACCATACTCAGTCCTCAGACAGATGCTGCTCTCCTCTTTGAGAAACAGAATTAAGGCACAGAGAGGCAGAACCTGCCCATTACTATCACTTGTGCATTCATTCATTCAACAGACATTTATTAAGCATCTATAATGTGCCAGGCCCTGGGGACACAGAGCTGGAGAATGTACAGTCCCTGCCCTCAAGGAGCTCACAGTCTGGGGGACAGACATGTAAACACATGAGTTACAACGCGCTGCGTGAAGTGTGTGGCAGAGGTATAACAAAGTGCTGTGGGGCACAACAGAGCGACCAATGAACTCTTCCTGGGCAGGGGTCAGGGAAGCCTTCACAGATCAGTCAATAAATACAGTGCCATGGGAGTGCCTTGTGCACCACGGGCACTCACATCTCAAATGCTGGTCCACTGGAGGCCCTTGGGCTGGGCGGGAGCAAGGCCTACTTCTACTTCCTCAGGACAACTTCCCCACCTCTGTCCTGGGACCACCTGCCCGCCTGGGCCTGCAGTGACTGAGGACACTGCTCCCACTCCAGGGGCCAGTGACAGAGAGCAGCTATACAGAGGGCCCACCCCGCGGGATCCTTGACAGGAGCTGAGACAGAACAAACTGCTGCGTGTCTCCCTACCCTGGGAGTTGTGATATTCCTGGTAACATCTCTGAGCTGGTCTGTGAGGTCACTTCCTCTCTTAACACTGTTGAGGAGACTCCAAACCCTCTGTCTTTTGCTTGTCTTCTCATGTCGATTGGGCACCGGCCATTCTCAGGCACCAGGGCACGGCCCACACGGGTGCCCCATCAGACAGGGCTGCCCACAGCAGCCTCCTACACCTGAACTGGGTTTCTCTGCACACTCACAGCCGTCTCACCAGCTCAATGAGCTGCTGGATGTTTTTGTTTTGGTTCGACAGGCCGTTCCTGATGTTTTCGAGTAGGCATCTCTTCAATTCAAATATGGCTTCACTGTAGGCCAAGCTCACTGCGGCCATGGGAGGTGCTCCGTGCCACAGGCCAGGGATGTGCCAGATGTGCTGCTTCTCAGGGTCACAGAAGGCCAGGCCTGCCAGTGCCCGGAAGCCGTCGCTCTGTTTCTCCATCTGGGCTGCAGCCCTGCTCAGGTCACCAGGTGGATCTAGGAGCTGTCTCTTGTCTCTTGGCCTGGGGCCGGCAACAGATACATCATGAAGGTTCTGGTATACAAACTGGTAGTTGGGCATGTGCCCCGTTTTTTCTAACCTCAGAAATGCATGCAGAATAGCTGCTGGAATGTCCTTGGTTTCAGCTAGGCTGATCACGGTGACATTGCTCAGTCCCATGAGCAGAGTGGCCAAGGAAGCCTCCAGCTCAAACCTGTCCCCAGCTGAGGTCAAGGCCCCACCTATCAAGCCCCCAGAGTCTATCACCAGGATGTGGTCACAGCCCAGGTCCTGGCTGAAGCCCTCGGCCACTGTGATGAGCTGCATGAAGGCCCCTCGAGGACTGCAGCTCTTCCCTGTGGCAAACCGCAGCCCAAACATGGTGTTGAGGAGTGTGGACTTGCCCGTGCCCGGCACCCCGAGGGCTGACAGAACCACCAGCCTTGACCGTCTCTCCAGTCGGACGTGCAGCTCCTTCAGGAGCCCCGTGACCCAGCGGACGGGCATGCTCAGGGTGCTCCCATCGATTAGCTCCAGAGGCAGCCCTGTCAGCAGCAGCTCCGAGGCCAAGCCTGGGAAGTGGGCAAAACGCCTCTGGCCTGCTGGCAGCCTCCCCGCCTCCACAAGACAGCTCTCGGCCTCATAAAACTGTCCCATCTCCCGCAGGAAGTGTTCCACCCCCAGGGGCTCAGGCCAGAGCGGCTCCCCCAAGTCTGTGGCGCCCCCATGCTTTGGTCTCAGGGTGAGAAGTGTCTCCGGAGGCTGTCTCAGTCGTGGCTGGGCCACCCGTGCCAGGCCCCACTCCATCCACCTCAGGAAGTACTGCTTCTCACTCAAGGAGGGGCTGCTGATCCCCGAGATGAACTCCTGCACCCCCGAGGAGGGATCGTGGCTGTTCTGCTGCATTCGAAGTTCTAGCAGCCGCCGCCTCAGCTCAGCCCTGTGCTTCTCAGGGGGGTCCACGGCCCACTGGAGCTGGCAGAACTCCTTCTCCACTTGGGCTGCCTTTCTCCAGGGGTCCCCCTGCAGCCTCAGCTCATCCCTTCTGTAGGCATCCGAGTCTTTGATTTTCCTGGTAATCCTCTCCATCCGGTCTTTCGCTTTCTGACACTCCTCACAGTCCTCGTCAACCTTTAGGCCGAGCTTGCGGGCTGCGTGCGCCATGTCCTCCACAGATACCCGCCTGCAGGGTGCCCGCAGCACATTCCCAACAATGGCCCGGATCCTCTTCACGAAGCTGTCGCTGTCAGTGCTGCTGACCTTCACCAGGACATGTGAGTGGTCTATTTTCAGCACAGGAATTAACTTATTCAGAAATCTCAGGTTTGTGTTGCGCTTCCCACGGTACGGACTCAGGATGAAGTAGTATTTTGTGGTTGACTCCTTCATGGAGTACAGCAATTTGTATTCCTTCTTACTGATATTGTCAGTCAATATAAACACAGCGGAGGAGATTTCTGTCAAGAGCTTAAACTGCAGCCAGTGAGACCCGATGTCACCTCTCAGGTTCAGAAAGGTCACAGGTTCTGGAAAAATGTCCAAGTCCTCCCTTCCGCTGGGAAAAAACCAGGAAATTTCTACCAACCCATCCGAAATCTCCCGGGCATTGGTGCCCAAGTTGAGGTCCCGATGCCAGAAGCAGTCCCACTGCCTGTGGCCCGGGCTGAGGACGGCGTTGAGAAGCTGGGACTTGGAGTTGCTACTGACATCCATGCGCACAAAGGCGAAGGCGGGCGCCCTGGACAGGACCACGCTGTCTTCCCGGAAGCTCCCCACGCCCCTTGGGGGCTGGGACCACCATGTCCTCACAATGCCCCGCATGGCCCACAGCAGAAATGTATGGTAGTGGTTCTCCGAGTCAGGCAACACGAGTGGGAGTGCAAACTGGCAGAGGGCCATTTTCAACACTATTTCTTGTTGCAGGAAACTGTCTGAGGAGATCAGCAGGGCACAGAGAAGGTCTAAGGGGTTCACTGGCGTATCAGGGGTAGGCAGCTCAGAAAAGGAATAAATGTCGGCAGCAAGGTCGTCAGCTGGGTCCCAGTAGATGATCTCCTCTTCCATCTGGCTCTCCTTCTCCACAGGCCTGGCATCTGGGAGCACGTCCAGCACCATGGTAGTATTCCTGGCATCAGCATTGAGGGCCTGCAGCTTCCTGAGGAAATTCCAGGGCAAGTCTTTGGGAACCTGAGGGGCCCAGTTCTTCATACTGTCAAAACTGATCTGCAGAGAGTCCTGAAGGCTGAGTTTCTGGACCTGGTACATCTCTAGGCCCAACAGTGACAGCATTTCTTGAAGCCTGCTTCTCTCCACTGTGGAAAGAAATGAAGACATAAGTGCTCACCCTGTGTTTCTGAGCTAAGGGCCAGGCAAGAGCTGGTGAGGGAGAGCCCAGTAGGATGGGGAGAGTGATGACCCCCTTCAGAGAGCAGAGTGCAGGCACAGGAGGCTCAGGGTGTGCTCAAGGCTGACCTGAGACCAAGGCAGGGCTGGAACCTGACATCAAGGTACAATAGGTACCAACCTAACCACAGACATATGTAACATTAAACAAAAGAAAGAAGAGAAATAGAGAAGCTACATTTAACAATTGGAAGAGTTCTTGCAAAAGCCAGATTTCTGGTCTTTCTAGAAACCTGTAAGATCTAACATTGAGCTCCAAATTAATTGGCTACAGTGAGCAGCACATGACTCCTAGAAGCTGAATGCAGGCCTCATCTCCCCACTGTGTCGTTTCTGTGACTCAGGGTCACTGGGAAGTTCCCACAGGAGTCATAATCACTGAATCACTCTCTGGCTTTCTAGTTAATGCTTTTTTGTTTGTTTGTTTTGTTTTGTTTTTCTCTCTACAAATAAGAGAATATTTTAAAGGAACTAGAAAGAAATCACTAAGCATAAAGAGTCAGCAATCATAGCTAAACAACCATTTTGCAAACCTGAAATCAATAATGCAGGTTTTCTTTTTTTTTTTCCCTTTCTCTTTTTTTAGACAGGGTCTTACCCTGTTACCCAGGCTGTAGTGCAGTGGCATGATTTCAGTTCACTGTAGCCTCAACCTCCTGGGCTCAAGAGCTCCTCCCACCTCTGCCTCCCAAGTAGCTGGGACTATAGGTGTGTGCCACCACACCCAGCTCATCCTTGTATTTTTTTGTAGAGATGGGTTTTTGCCATGTTGCCCAGGCTGGTCTCAAACCCAAACTCAAGCAATCCACCTCTCAAAGTGCTGGGATTATAGGTGTGAGCCATGGTGCCTGGCTTTAATGCAGTTTTTAATTTTAAATGTATTAAAATATTCAGTGCAGACTGTTAGTGAGTACTTATTTGCAGACACTCAAATATCACCCTATACAATATAAAATCTTATAAGCTAGATGCTTGGAATAGTATTGCTACCTCTGAAGGTTCCATCCACCATCCCAGGTCTTGGCCCAGCACCTTCCTAATGTTCATGCTGCATATAATTAGTTCTCCTAAAATTTGTTGTTGTGGGCCAGGCGCAGTGGCTCATGCCTGTAATGCCAGCACTTTGGGAGGCCGAGGCGGGCAGATCACGAGGTCAGGAGATCGAGACCATCTTGGCTAACACGGTGAAACTCCATCTCTACTAAAAACACAAAAAAATTAGCCGGGCGTGGTGGCAGGCGCCTGTAGTCCCAGCTACTTGGGAGACTCAGGCAGGAGAATGGCGTGAACCCGGGAGGCAGAGATTGCAGTGAGCCGAGATCACGCCACTGCACTCCAGCAGCCTGGGCAACAGAGCAAGGCTCCATCTCAAAAAAAAAAAAAATTGTTGTTGTTGTTGTCTGAGACAGTGTCTCACTCTGTCACCCAGGCTGGAATGCAGTGGTGTAATCACAGCTCACTGCAGCTTAGACCTCCCAGGCTCAAGTGATCCACCCATCTCAGCTTCTGAGCAGCTGGGACTACAGGTGCACTAGACGCTTGGCTAGTTTTTGTATGTTTTGTAGAGATGGGATTTTGCCATGTTGCTCAGGCTGGTCTTGAACTCTCTGGCTCAAGTGATCTGCCTGCCTCAGTCTACCAAAATGCTGGGATTACAGGAGTGAGCCACCCCGCTGAGTCACTTTAAATGTTAATGCATGAAACAAATACAAATTCCACTGCCCTGCAGCCTTTTTTCCAGTTCCTTTCTCAAGAGAGAAAACGACGTGTGTGATGCTGCTTTAGATGTTTAGATAAACATGAAAGGAAACACTGGGTGACCCAGCCCTCTGCCTGTTTCCCAAGAAGGTCAAGTGATGGATTCAAGACCACCTCCCATTCAACCAGCAGGACTCACAGTGCTGGACACTCTGCTCAGAGAGTTCCACAGGCAGTGCAGCCACAGGACTGCCCCACAGAACATTAGGCGACCTATGAACTTGTTACAAAAACAAAAGAACTACATGGGAAGAATCACACTGTGGCAGAATAGGTGTTACTCAGCTTTCCTAGCTCTGCCTGAATGAAACTAGGAACACTGTTTTTCTTGTCCAGACATGGAACAACTTTTTATTTTTTAAGTAGCAAGGTAGTACAAGGCAATGGGGAAAAGACAAAGAAAACACTCCTGCCCAGTGTGTGGCCCTTGGCAGGTTGTTTAGAAGCTCTGGGCCCAGGATCCTGACCAGCAAATGAAGGCGTTGGACCAGATAAATGGTTTCCAAACAGGGCTGTACATTAGAATCACTTCAGGAACTTGTTAAAAAATGAAACATCTCTGGGTTGCACTTCCAAACATGCTAACTTATTACAGGCAGTGAGTATGTTGGGTGCTGGGGGGACCTGGTTACTCTATGTGGTTAGCAAGTTTCCCCGGGTTTCTTTCATTCTTTTTTTTGTTTTTTTTTTTAGCAATATTGTCAACAATGTATAAAGGGTTAATGAAGTAGGGCATCCTACACCTGAGTGCTCTGCCTCCCCAGGTGATTTGATACAGTCAGGTGTGGGAATTGCCGGCCTAGATGATAACCCCCTTTCATAGAACAGGGAGAAAAGGCAGAGAAAATGCTTACCTGTTGGAAAATCATTGTCCTGAGCCTCATTTGTACCATCTATGGAAAAAGCAATGGAAAATGAAGTGTCAATCAAATAATGCACCCTTGGCTGACACAAATTAATTGAAGCTAAACCTAGAACCCTTCTTTCTCACCAAGATGGCAACTTCTCCCAATTGTTCTAAATATAAAATCCTGGTTATCTGTCACTTTACCCACTCCCCGTCTAGCCAATCCAATCTGTTGCCAAATCCTGTAGTTTCTACCTCCATAACGGAACTCGCAATCATCTCCTTCCATTTCTCTCCATTCCAAATCTAGAAGAAAAAAGAAACCATATACATTTAGTTTCATCAGCAAGTTAGAGCCTTTCTGTCAAAAATTTCAAGTGCTCATGCCTGTAACCCCAGCACTTTAGGAGGTTGAACAGGAGGAGTGCTTGAGTCCAGGAGTTTGAGACCAGCCTGAGCAACCAAGCAAGACCCTGGTCCACAAAGACTTTTTTAAAAAAATTAGGGCAGGCATGGTGACTCATGCCTGTAATCCCAGCACTTTGGGAGCCCAAGGCAGGAAGATCACTTGAGGTCAGGAGTTTGAGACCAGCCAGCCTGGCCAACATGGCGAAATCCCGTCTCTACTAAAAATACAAAAATTAGCAAGGCGTGGTGGTGCATGCTTGTGATTCCAACTACTTGGGAGGCTGAAACATAAGAATTGCTTGAACCCAGGAGGCGGGGGTTGCAGTGAGCCGAGATCTTGCCACTGCACTCCAGCCTGGGCGACAGAGTGAGGCTATCTCAAAAACAAACAAACAAACAAACAAACAAATATTAGCTGGGCATGATGCCATGAGCCAATGGTCCCAGCTGAGGCAGGAGGATTACTTGAGCCTGGGAGGTCAAGGCTGCAGTAAGCTGTGGCTGTACCACTGCATTCCAGCCTGGGCATCAGAGCAAGACCCTGTCTCAAAAAGAAAAAAACACCTAACAACAACAAAAAATGTCAAGTGACAATACGGTGGCTGATGTTTTAGTGCTATTACTGGTTTCAGTTTTTCCTATGTAATGTTTTGCCAGCAAAAAATACATCACAAGATAGTAATAGCTACACACAAGACAGAGACTTGCTCTAGGATATATCTTTACAGAATTTTCTAAATTTTGGGAAAATAAACATGAATAACCATAAAACTTATACAGATTAACCTTTGATTTTAGAAACTATTTAAAATGTAAGTTGATAGAAATTCCTTGACTATTTAAAAATTCAGCACCTCCTATCATGTTATTTTTATTCCAGCATAAGAAATTTTTGTAATCACTTAAAATTAAAATGTATATCAGAGCACAAATACACCAGAGTGAGGTGCGAGGGGAGAGACAGTGGGGAAGAGTTGTGACTTACCAGTAAACTGTTATTTGCCCAAAGTCTCCAAACATCATGAAATGTCCATCAACATTAATATCTTAATTACAGAATGTGTTTAATGTAGTGGTAGTCAGATACTTATGTATGAAGGAAGACCTAAAACTCTAGATTTGCTTGCAAGTCCACAATATAAAGGAGAGAACAGCAGGCTTAGGAAGGAGGGAGCAAGGCTTTTCAGTGCATGTTTTGACTATTTTGACTTTGATCCAAGAAAAAGTAACACCTAGGTTTCAAAATTTACACACACACACACACATACACACACATATATATATATTTTTGAGACGGAGTCACACTCTGTCACCCAGGCTGGAGTGCAGTGGCGCAATCTCAGCTCACTGCAAGCTCCGCCTCCCAGGTTCATGCCATTCTCCTGCCTCAGCCTCCCTAGTAGCTGGGACTACAGGCGCCCACCACTATGCCTGGCTAATTTTTTTTTTGTATTTTTAGTAGAGACAGGGTTTCACCGTGTTAGCCAGGATGGTCTTGATCTCCTGGCCTCGTGATCCGCCCGCCTCGGCCTCACAAAGTGCTGGGATTACAGGCGTGAGCCACTGCACCCGGCCCCAAAATTTACATTTTTTAAGAGCTTATAAATCAAGATTCAGATATTTTCAGATTTCTGTTTTCTCATGATTTCCATGCAATCAGGTAGATAAATCTAACATTTCAAACCATCTTCTTTGATGATGTCTCTGGGAGATGGACATGTGAAAAGCAGGAAAGAGAGAAGAAGAAAATGGGGTCCAGGAAGCATGAGAAGATCAGAGAAGGCACAAGATCCACACACATCAACCACAATGCCAAGCAGTCCAAAGATTACATTATTCAAGTGAGGAAAAGCCATCAGAACAAATTCTCCAAGGAACCCAAAATGCCATATGAGGAGAGAAAATAGTTAGAGAAGAGAATGGGAAAGTCTAAAGATGCCAGAGATAGGGTTGGGGTGGTTCTGAGAGTAGTTTTAAGCCGGAGTCAGGACTAACCTCCAGACCCAGAGAAAATAGGGCCTTGCTTGGTTAGGGGTGGGAAATAGCTCTGATGTGGATTTAACAGGTGGATGAAGTCAAGGATGCACAAAGTAGCCAAAGACTGAGGGTTACCAAACTAAGGAAACCACTGACTAGGGCTGGGAGAGAGCCTGATGTTCTGCAGCCATCAGCAGATTGTGGGGCAGGGGGAAGAGGAGGCAGCAGGGCTCTAGGCAAAGACACAAAACAGCAAACATGGGGGGCCAGTGAGGGCTCAGCTCCATGAGCCAAGGTCTCCACTATACTTCACATTGGGTGGGAAGTGACCTAAGGATGAGATAAGCTCTGACTCTGGGAGTACTGGGCTCACACGGAACACAGGGACAGAGGATAGGCCAGGCCCTACCACCATGGTGAGCCCAGGAAGAACTGTTATGAGCCCATTGTTGGAGAACCCCGAGTAAGGCAATTAAAACCATTTTCAGGCCAGGTGGGGTGGCTCATATCCGTAATTACAGCAATTTGGGAGGACAATGCAGGAAGATCGCCTGAGTTTAGGAATTCGAGACCAGCCTAGGCACAATAGCAAGACCCTCATCTCTACAAAAAGTTTTTTAAAAAATTAGTTGGGTACAGTGGCTCACACCTGTAGTCCTAGCCACTTGGGAGGCTGAGGCAGGAGAATCCCTTGAGGCCAGGAAGTCAAGGCTGCAGTGAGCTACGATGGCCACCACTGCACTCCGGCCTGAGTGATGGAGTGAGACAAAAACAGAATGAGCTATGAAGTAGAATCTTCAGAATTGAGTAAGATAAATAAATTATATAGTGTGACTACATAAAGTATAAACCAGGCAAAGCTAACCTATCCTTTTAGAAGTCTGGATAATGACAGACGAGAGGTGAAGTGACTGGAAAGGGCCTTTGGGGGCATGGGTTTTCTTCAGCTTCTCCATTTGGTTTCTGGCTTGCATAGGTAAGTTCATGTTTGTGAATATTTCTAAAGCTATTATTCGGAGTACTTTTCTGAATGTATAGTATACTTTTTTTTTTTTTTTTTAAGACAGACGCCTACGCTGGAGTGCAGTGGTACGATCTCGGCTCACCGTAACCTCCGCCTCCCAGGTTCAAGCGATTCTCCTGCCTCAGCCTCCTGAGTAGTTGAGACTACAGGCGCCCACCATCCCACCCAGCTAATTTTTGTATTTTAAGTAGAGACAGGGTTTCATCACGTTGGTCAGGCTGGTCTCAAACTCCTGGCCTCAAGTGATCTGCCTGCCTCGGCCTCCCAAAGTGCTGGGATAACAGGCATGAGCCACTGCACCTGGCCTGTATAGTATACTTAAATACAACTTGTTTTTAATCCTATAGGCTTAAAACCTTGCTTTAAGTCTTTAAAATTAAGCATACGCTCAAGAGGAACTCACATAACTCATGAAGAAGAAGAGCTATAAAGAATAACCACTGGAAGTTTATTCAGTAGAGATATTAAAGTTTGGGGAAGAGCCAGTGTCTCTGTGCCTTGGTTTCCTCAAACGAAACAGGAATTGATAACTATCTTAGAGGTTATTGTTAAAAGTAATTAAGACAACCTAGCTCACAATAAGCATCCAATAAGGCCATTCCCTCTCCTCGCCCCATCCCCATGCTTTCTTTCCCATTTGTCTAGAACAACGCTCTCCAAGGGAACCTCCCAAGATGAAGTTCTCCATCTGCAATGTCCAAACTGCAGCCGCTCACCATGCAGGCTGCTGAGCAAATACAGCTAGAGTACTTAAGAGCTGAAGTTTTAATTCTGTTTAATTTTAAACAATGTGCCTAGTGGTTACTGTGTTGAATAGCATAATTCTAGACGTGGAGAAACTAAAGGGCTTTGGGCAATTACTGCTTTATCCCAATTCTGCTATAAGCCTTGACCAACTGGCCAATAATCCCCATGGTGCCTACCTTCCAGAATTTAAGTTCCATGAAGGGCTTTGAGCCTTTTCATTTACTATTGTCTACAATATCCCAATGCTCACAACAATGTTAATACATGGTAAGTACTCAAAAAATATTTGTTTAAATGAATAAAATAGTGATTTTTTTCCATAGAGCCGGGGTCTCACTATGTTGCGCAGGTTGGTCTCAAACTCCTGGGTTCAAGCGATCCTCTTGCCTTGGCCTCCCAAAATACTGGGATTACAGGTGTGAGCCACTGTATCCAGCCTAAAATAAAACTGCATTAACCAAAACTTATTTGCATATTTTTGTGGATTTTTGTTTTTGCATAACTCTATTAATATCCAATAGAACACATTATTTTTTTTTGGCAGTTAAAACATAGTTTATTTTTTAGCACATTCATTTTAAGAAGAACGTAATTTATGAAAGATATATCTAAAATGAGCTACTGGCTGGGCACAATGGCTCACGCCTGTAATCCTGGCACTTTGGGAGGCTGAGGCAGGCGGATCACCTGAGGTCAGGAGTTCGAGACCAGCCTGGCCAACATGGTGAAACTCATCTCTACTAAAAATACAAAAAATTAGCTGTGCGTGGTGGCACATGCCTGTAATCCCAGCTACTTGGGAGGCTGAGGCAGGAGAATCACTTGAACCCAGGAGGTGGAGGTTGCAGTGAGATGAGATCGCGCCACTGCATTCCAGCCTGGGCAACAAAGGCGAAACTCGGTCTCAAAAAATAAAAGAAAATATAAAATAAAATAATAAAAGAAAATATAAAACAAAATAAAATGAGTTAGTAAGAGAACTAAAGATATCTGGAGTGTGGCCACCGTACCTTAAAGGTGAATTTACAAAGGGTGGTGTTACAGCCCCACCCCCAAATCCTCAGAGAAAGAAAAACCAGCCTGTATGGATCACAACCAGGAAGACTACAATCCCAGTTCATACCTGTTTTCCCAACATTACATCCCTTTCACTCTCAGAAGTGCCCACTTTAGAAGATAAACTATACAGTCACCTTAACTATGACCTACAATGGCTGTTATGCTAAAATTGGGGTAATGTGTTTCTGTTAAATTGTGTCATAATCACTTGTTTAACTGAATCCTGGGAACACTTACTCCATTTTCTGGAATAAAGTGTTGCTCATAAAAAAACAAACAAAAAACACTATTTTGAATATATGAGGAATGCTTAGAAGACCCTTAGATGGAATCTTCTTGTAAAAGGAAAAATAAAAGCCTTAAGCTTATTTATTTTTGAGGTGCACAATCCCAAGTCCAGGGAGAGGCTGGAACCCAGAATCCCAAGGGGACAGGAGAAGTACTTCAGCTCCAGAGTGGGCCCACATCCAGTTCATCCAACTTTACCTGCAATGGCCACAGCTGTTCGTCTCTCTGATGCTTTTATTTCTGGGGCTACTTCTCCCAAATCTGAATGCCTGAAACAATTTCAGAAGAAAATTATAATTAAAATAATGGAATACCACTTTCACCTATCAAACTGGCCGCATATAAAATCTCTTGGAGAGCTTTTAAAAACTATAAACCCTGGGTCACACCCCAGATCCATGAAACCAGAATCTCTGGGAGCTGGTCCTGGGTATCACTGCTTTTAAAAGTGCCCTCAATGATTCTGATGTGCACCCACAGTTGAGAAACACTGGTCTAGAAAACCAGCACTCTCCAAAACTTCTGGCCAGAGCACAAATACAGCCATTCAGAAAGACAGAAAAATATACATACCCTTTGCCCAGTAATTCCACTTCTATCCTAAGGAAATAATTAAGATTTAGTTACAAAGATGTTGATGCCAGCTTTATATATAATAGCGAAAACTGATGCCTTTTAAAATCAAAGTGCAATAACGGAATTATGGTCGAATTCTGCAGCCATTACAAAATACGCTATGGATTTCTCTTGTGGACAGAAAGATGCTGGATGAGATGTTAGGGAAAGATGCTATGTTAATTAGTCGGGGGAAAGTCAGGCTACAGAAAAGTATACATAGTACGACTACAATTTAATAAAATTGTGTATATTTGTCTACAGGTATATATACAGAACTCTAGAAGAATGTTCATCTGAAGTTAACACTGTGGTCTGGAAGGGGTGATCCTGAATTATTTTTAGTAGCTATGATAAGTGTAGTCTAATTAAGAATAAACTATTTTAGGCGGCGTGGTGGCTCACGCCTGCAATTCCAGCACTTTGGAAGGCCGAGGTGGGTGGATTACTTGAGGTCAGGAGTTCAAGACCAGCCTGACCAACATGGTGAAACCCTGTCTCTACTAAAAATATAAAAATTAGCCAGGCATGGTGGCAGGTGCCTGTAATCCTAGCTACTCGGGAGGCTAAGGCAGGAGAATCACTTGAACCCAGAAGGCAGAGTTGCAGTAAGCTGAGATCGCCCGCTGCACTCCAGCCTGGGTGACAAGAACAAAACTCCGTCTCAAAAAAAAAAACACAACAAAACTATTTTAGATGTATCACAGGAATGAGCAAATGAGTAAATGTATTGATTCTGCCAGGAGCCAGGTTGCTAGCTAACTGTTCAAGAAAGAACATACAAACAGAATGGAGAGTTACAGCAGAACTTGCAGAGGCGCAATGGAACTGGAGGCACTCATGTGAACTGTGATTTCTATATGCATGCCTATGTGCATATGCGTGTAAGTGTGTAGATGTAGGTGCGCACACATATCTCTGTATGTATACGAGTGTACACATGCATCTATTTCCTAACTGTCCACGGAAAGGGCCAAGAAGCAAAGACACTGTTGTGGCAATGGGCATGCCTAGCACCCTTTAATACCTTCCATGCTAAAAGAAAATGGACTCCTTGGAGATCCTGAATGATGGCTGGGGCAAGGAAAGAACAGGAGGAGCCTGAGCATCTTATTTCAGAAAGTAAGGAAATGCTCGAAAACGTGATGGTCACAGGAGCTAGCCTGAGAAACTCTCCCTGGTCAAATCTAGGACAATGTGAGCACAAACACAGTAACTGATTTAAAACCATCGAAAACCAGCAATTAGTGAGTCCACACGGATAATAAATACATGGGCAGAAAGAGAAGGCTCTCTTGCTCACATCAGAACATGAAATGTGGAGGGGGATGCTGCAGTCAAAATAGTATCATTTTAGAGCAGGGCGTAGTGACTCGTGCCTGTAATTCCAGCATTTGGGAGGCCAAAGCAAGAGGATTACTTGAGCCCAGGAGTTCAAGACTAGCCTGGGCAACATGGCAAAACCCCATCTCAACAAAAAATAATGAGCCACTGCACCCTATAGCCAGTAATTTTAAAAATTATAACACCAGCCAATCTGTCAACTCGGGCTCCAGCCCGCTTCTAAGCCTTGCTAAGTTTCCTGTCTGTGCAACAGGCGGAGTCGGACCAAGACGGCAGAGAACAGCACTTCCAACGGCCCTACTCAGGGGTAAGGGAGCTCTCTGCAATGCAGTTTTTGAAAATTACTAATATCACTATATATTTGTTTCTGATTCCAAAAATAAGATACACACAAAATACAAGAAAGTATCATAAAAATGCTTTCCTGTCATATGTTTGAAAATTATACCCTATGTTAATCTGTCCTCTCCTCCTCATAATCTACTTCCATTGCTCTAGTCCATTCTATTAACAGGTAGAAGACTAGTGCATTTGCATGCCCCAATTTACTCCCTGATGACCAATGGCTCTTTAGTTTGATCTTCTTCTGCTGGAGCCCACCCTGGCCCTTAATTAGCATATTTACTGTACACACCCTACTTCCCTATTAACTTAGAATCATGACCCTTTCCCTATATCCTTCACAATGCTGAAAAGCATTCTACTTTTATTACTGGAAACAATTTTAAAAAGGTAAATATTCTCTTTGTATTCAGAATACAGTCAGAACACAGGAAATAGCCAAGGTCCTCAAGCCCCCAGGGTGTGGTGTCAGACACTGCCTAGGGGCCACCTGCAGCAGCTGCTCACCTTTCCCTCCTCTGGGCACTTCCCCACACAGACATCTCTCCAGGGCAGGGGTGACCTGATCGCCACCCTCAGGGTCCGGGGTGTCCACATCTCCTCACTAAGTTAGCCAGTGGAGGGGCTGGTTTGTTGTCTGGCAGAAAGAATCAAGTCCATGACCAACACCAGGGCAGCCATGCTATAAACAGCATGTGGCTGAATCCTGCTTCCCGCAGGTCTGCTGATGGTTCACTGCTCATTGTGAAGGCCATCTGTCTTGCTGATCGTCTAGCCACAGAAGACAGTGCGGGGTTAACTTTCCTTGTCTTCTCATTTTTCCTTTTTCATTTCCTTCTTTTTTTCTAACTGCCCAGCAGATCTTAGGAGCTTTTTTGCTAAAACCTGGAGATTCTGATTTACCAGACCTGGGTGTTCAGCACATAAGAAATTATCAACTAGGGGAAGTCACACCTTTGTTTTTCTGTTGACCTACCTCAGAATATGGAACTCCCTGGACAATCCATCCATGCCCAGAATAGATAGGGCAAACCATGTGGGCAGAATCCAAGTTTTGTTCTACATCAATCACTAATTTCTAGCAACAAAATTGGTTCCTCTGCTGGATGGTGCCCATAAAATAAGATGGCATAGGAAAACAATTCTGAACAAGGTGAGCACTAGACAAATACAGGTACAATTACTCACTGTATTATAATCAACAATATATTTTTAAATGTGGAGTCCTAATTAGGGAAAAGGAGTCAGGCTGGTGGGACCAAGGGAAAGCAAAGAGAAAGCACATAAGCTGTAAGTCTGCCTTTCTTCATGGTCCAGGACACATAATCCTCCTGCATAAATAAGTCACAATCTTGCTGCACCCAGCTAACTTCAGACCCTCGGCTGATAGAAAAATGCAAATTAGCTCACTGCAACCTTGGCGTTATCAGTACTGCACATAGCTCTCTCCAGAAAACAGCACAAGCACCATCCTATAAAATCCACAGCAAGCCCTTGTCTCCTCACAGTCAGCTCCTTTCTTGCTGACTTGCCCACTGCTTTCTTGCAACATAATTTCATACTTGTGATTCTTATGCCTCAGCCATCCAAGTAGTTGGGATTACAGCATTCGCTACCACACCTGGCTACTTTTTGTA